ATGGAGAATATTATAAGTGATTTTAGTTGCTTGATTGCTCCGAATATGGAATGTTTTTGTTGATGAAAATCAAATTTTTGCAAGGTAATTTCAGAGAATAATTGAGAGAGTTATTTGAGGAAAGAATATTAAATTGATTGTGTGATGGATTGTTTCTAGTGACAGGAAAGTCACGAGGCTGATTGTAGTTTTTGGATGAATTACTTTTAGAAAAAATGTGTAGTGATCAGTGGGTGTGTGCATTGTATTTTGGGTATATGAGAATTAATTATTGGAGACTTACCTTGCATGAGAGCTAGAGACTTTTGTTGGCGTGAGAAGCTGATTGCCTAAAGATAATCGAAGATAATCGCGTGGAGAGATTGAAGCTCGCATTTATCTCTTTAGATATATATGATTCAAACACCAAATCATATTGGTGAGATCTTCACGTACTTCACAAAGGTAGGCCCATGAGTAACTTTACTATATATACATTAGTGGTGTACGTAAATATGGTGGCCTTGAAAAAGAAAATATTGGGTAATCAAAGGATACATTTGGGGCATGTTTTTTATAGAAGAAATATTCAGAAAAAGTCTATATGAGAGTGAGCCTTTAAGTGTTGATTGAAGATCGTCCTTCGGAAAAAGATTAGAAGCTTTCAGAAGAAAGCGCACTGCTAATGCCAATCGAAGGGATTTCGTCGTGCAATTTGAAGACGAGTGGTGCTCGTTGGACTAGGCCGTTAAGGAGATTCGACACGGCAGTGACAACGTTAAGGAGGAAGTCTTTGAGTGTATAAATCCGATTGATGTCGGTAATTCTTTGGAACTTAGTGGATTGTTCACTGTCTGAGCGTGGCCCTACAGATGTAGGTTGTTGAACCGAACTGCAATATCATTTTCTAGCGTCCTTTAATTTTTCTGCATTAAGGATGTGTCCTTAACTCTGCGAGAACGAGTTGATGAGTTTGTCAAAGAGAAGGATGTGTTGAAGAAGGCTGTAGAAAATTATGAATTCCTTATTGCTGAGTAGGATAAGAAATTGAAAGAGAACAGGGCTGAATTGAAAAGTACTCAGAAGGCATCGAAGATGATGAATTTCAACACCGCCAAACTGGATCACATTCTCTTGATAGAAAAGGCGAGTAGTGATCGTCATGGACTTGACTATACTGGTGAAAGTGCATCGTCCAAAACAATGTTTATGAAGGAGACGCCTGTTTGTAAACTCCAGACTATGCACGATAAGAAGGTAACTATTCTTCCCCTCAACATAAGTCAAGAAAGTTTGTCTCTACATGTCACTATTGCATATTGCCTGGACACATAAGACCGAGATGCTACAAGTATTTGAATGCTTTGAAGAGAGATATGCTTCTTAATTCAACGAACTCCATAAGAATAACACCTAAAATGAAGATTGATGTGCACGATAAATTTCCTAGACATGTGCGGGTAAGAAAATCTGATTTTAGGTGTCAAAGAGCTTGTACTTCTTTAGAAGCATATACTAATAATTGTGAGTGTAGTGATGGTGGCTGTTCCAAGCATTTGACAGGTGATAAGAACAAAATTCAGAGAGTATTACATTCAGGGAGTAAGACGGAGAGAAGATTCAAAGAGAGCGAGCTTCAGAGGTCAATGATTTTGAAAGATGATCTCCAAAAAAGTGTTGCACAAAGTGTTTCATCAGGTGTTGCAACATGGTATGGATGTTGCGACATGATATGAATATTGCGAGTGCACGTTTGGAGGAGAAGCAGTTTCTTCAATCCTTGGCATTAGATTGGGAGATTGGCACAACAGAATCTGGAGGTCATGAGGCACTAGTGACAAGCTTCAAACCGCACTCACATCTCGGAGGATTCGTTCTCAGTGGTTACAGGGGAGACACCGTACCAGTCGGGCCTTAGTCGCATAACAAATTGGTGAAACTTGTCTTGCGGAGATGTCCAAACTGCAGATACTTGCCGCCGTTGCATCTCTACCCTTCCCTCAAGGTACTTGTATTGGAAGACATGACCAAGCTAGAATATGTTTCACACAATATTAAGGATGGCTTCGTTTCCTCGCCGGTGTTGTCTTTTTAGGGGTTACAAGAACTCCGTCTCATGGAATTGCCTCTGCTAAGGAGCTAGTGGCCAGATCGGAATGCAATAAGGATCACATGTTTCCTCATCTTTCTAAACTGTTCATCGAGGATTGCCCTGAGCTGGTTTCCTTTCCACTTTTTCCAACTCTAGAAGAAGGCTTAGTCCCTGATTCCTGCAGCTCGAAGCCATTCCAGGAGACTTTAATGGTGAAAGCCAAAGACATGCGATTCCAGACATGTACACGAGCGTATGAAGCATCATCGTCAACATCGGTAAATGCTCGCTCATCTTCCTTTTTATCACCTCTTTCTAAATTGAAGAATCTGTCTATTGTAGGCATCGAAGAACTCGACGACGAGAAAGCTGATGAAATAATGTAGGGGAACCTAACGAGCCTGCAGTATTTGAGACTTGATTCCCTTCCAAATCTTGGATATCTCTCCCTAGCAGGCTGCAAAAGATCACCAGCTTGCAGGAAATCCACATTTGGCGTTGCAATTTTACCATCCTTCAAGAGAGGATCATCGAGCTGAAACTACTTAAGAAACTTTCGATCTCGATATGTCCCAACTTGAAGTCACTGCCTGAAAAAATAGGCAGCCTCACTTCGCTACAGACGCTGGAGATCAAGGGCTGCCCCGCCTTATTGCATAGATGCCAACGGAAAGCAGGTGCGGATTGGGATAAGATTTCTCACATCCCGGATTTGCGCTTAGATATGAGTTCTCGAAACTGATTTTGCTCTAGGCCACTTGTACAGGTATATATACATCAGCTTTCTTCATATGTTTCTGGTTATGCAGCAAACAGACTACAATTTTAACTTCAAATATAAATTACGTGCTCCTTGTTGGAATGCTAGTTTCCAGATTTAGTTATTAAATAGATTAGACATTTTTTTGGTGATCAAGAGTGGTGCATATAACTCGTAGAAGTTAACAATTTGAAACTTTTGCATTCTTTTCAGCTTAAATTTAACCTCATCGTTTTCGTTTTCTTCCAAATTGATCAGGGATTTTGTTTCATTACCTCAATTCTACTATTTTGAATTTTTTGTGCAGAACAAATTGGAGTAAATTATAAATTATAATTTTTGCAAGTCAAGCGTGGATAGGAAATTATAAATTTCTAATTCTGTGCATGTGATTTCCTCTGTTTTCTCATGCAGTTTTTTTTTTTATCAACATGTAATTTTCATCTTAAACCAGGTCAAATCTTGATGACATTCAGCCATGGATTTTGGTTCAGTCTCACTGCTCATTAATCATTATGGCATTCTGGATTTCTCCTACAGTGGTTCTCTAAAAAGAGTTCGAATTTATTCCTAATGGTTTGTCTGGTGAGGTTTTTAACGAGGCATATTGTGACCCTTATTAGTATCAAAAGTTGATTGATTTCCCTTTTCATTTGTTGTTGTTGTTGTTTTATTTATTTATTTTTTATGTTAACGAGGCATATTACTGTACTCTGTTTATTATTACCCTCTTGGTTTGTTAATGTTTTTCTTCTCAGACATTGTAATTTTCTTCTTTTAGTTTGATAAAGATTGGTAGTACTAGCAAAGGAGCGAGAAGCGAAACATGTGCGAACATAGTTGGGATGTGTTCAGTGTGTCGTGAAGCTCGAAATTACCCAATTCATTAAAAGATATTAGAATTTAAGGAGAAGTGAGAAGAAAAAAAAGAGAGAAGAATTGTACTTTAAAAAATATTAGACTTTCATCTTAAAAAATTGACCTATTTAAGTGGAGTAGTCCAATATACTTATATGACTATAATTATATTTGTATTTAGATGATGCGGTGCTTGGGCATTTTACCCTTAACACACTCCCGCAAGATGGTGCTCTGCTAAGGAGTCACTAATATTGTATTTTTGATGGATCGACCCAACTCATTTGAACAATAGGCTCTGATACCATATTAGTTTACTAATCCATTCTAAAAGCTTAAGCTGTTTGAAGGTGGGCCAACAATAATTTTATAGTTTAACAAAAGAAAACGCTTGGTGGAGGATGGCCAATTTTGTAGTTTAATTGACAAATAAACAAAAGGAGGTGAAATTTGATATTTCGTTAGCTTCTTTACATGTATGAAGGATATATAAGCTATGAGAGAATGTTATTGACATATAATCTTCCGTAGCTAAAACAACCATACATTACTCTAATACCTCTAGTTGACATACTCCTTATGGGATGTCCATAAAAAAATTTGTTGATACAAGAATTAGTTTCTCATACAAATATCGATTCTCTGACAATTAACGATATAGATAGCAGGGTAGGGGGAAAATAACTTATGGTCCGTTTAATTTGTTGATTCGAGTTTTTAATTTAAGTTAAGATGTGACTTTATGTGAGAGTTTTTTACTGCAGTAAAAAAATTAGATGTGACTGTTTCTGAGAGTTTTTTACTGTAACAAATTCGAATTCTTATTTCCATATTGTTAATTTCGTGGCATGAATTACTTCTGATCTTGTTTCCTAGCACAATCTTCCAAAACTGTTTAAGTAGCCAACCTTGATTACAAATAATATGATCTGTTACTCTGAATTCTTATTTCTAAGCAAAAAATGTTAGAATAAATATTTTTGGGTTCAAAGAAAGGCAAAATCCTTTCATGGAGTAGAAATTATGCATAATTATAAGTTCCATTACGTAGAAGCATACATAAAAAAAAAAAAAAAAAGGATCAAAGTGCTGAAATTGTACTCTTTTTTTGGCTGAAACTAATGTGCCATCTGAGTTTTAGTTAGTAAAATCTTTGACGTTCATAACTTTGGCTACGATGTGCCTCTAATGAATATGAAATTAACAAAAGCAAATGGAAACAAAATGTATATACGAATAAAATGAGAAATTCCATAAATAAGCAAAAAAAATGTATTATACCAAAATGAGATTTTAACTTTCAAAAATGGTGTACAAATAAGCCGCTCAGCCCTACGCTCTAGTCTCTTCTCCTCTGAACTCCAAGCCAACGTACAAAATCGACCCACCTAACCACAGTACACAAAATATAAAAAGTATTAAAAATAATCCCAAAAAAAAAAAAAATTGAACATTTGAAGGGTTATTACTAGGAAGGTACAACAAATCTTACAGTATTGAACCCAAAAATGTGTTGCTTGTTCGAATAGCAAAGCAAGCGGCACTTAGCACAACCTTGTGTTGGTGTAACAAAGGTTCTAGAATTCTTTGTTCTATAATTCCAGCCAGTATTTGGTACCTGTATTAAACCAAGAAATTATATCATGACTGGAAAGCCACAGTGAACGACATGTCGTTTTCTTAACAGCATAAAACGACATACCTTAGGTTGCTAGAAACGGACATGTAAACACCATAGGCAACGCTGGTTGGTAAAACGGGCACATCCTCTGCTTCACCAGCAAATGACTTATCTATAACCTTCCTTGCAGTGATCAATGCATTTGTGACTCCTGTACCAACCTTTAAAAAAAAGAAGAAGTTATCACTCATGTTAAAATAGATAATTAAGTGGACGTTTGGTTCGTGTATTTAGAATTATAATTTAAGACTATTTTTATTTTATGTATGTTTTTTATGAGAAAAAAACACGATAAAAAATCATAAATTATGATTCAAAATTAAGAATGAACATAGAAAATAAACATCTACTAGATATCAAAAAAAGTATTGTGCTCCGTCCTCTCTCAAAAGTGGGTTCATGTTTTGTTGCCTTGACAAAGGTCAGCGGGGCCCACGGTTGTAAGAGGACCGACTAAGCCTTGAACAATATTATTTAACACCAGTCGTATTAAGCATCATATTGTTGTTGATGGACAAATTCCACATGCATAAAGCCCAACATATGTGAATTGATCTAATGTCAAAAAAGCTTTGTTTATTAATATATTTTCTGCGGACATGGCTGTATATGAGGATTAAAGCGCATTTTCCAATAGAAACCTGTCAATAATTAGACTAGTGAAAGAATGACAAACAGAAAAGATAAGGATCATATTTTCATCTTATATATGGGCAATGAAAAAAAAAAAAGAAGTTTAAGACATTAAAAAAATAAAACTACTCGTAATTTTATTTTTTTAACCGTTTTTAACTGTTAAATCTCTATCAGAAACTGTTTATTTTGTATATTTTTTTAATTTTATTTAATTTTAATCAGATTCAACAGTTAAAAAACTAATCATACCAATAGAGCGACCTGCCGAGGATGGATCCAAAAAGTAAACTATAAAGCGTAAGATAATGTACTTACCAGAGATGCCCCAGTCCCCACTGCAAACAGTTTGGCCCAGTTGCGCTGCACAACAGATTAATTAAGATTATTTAACTCCCAATTATCTATTAAACATTACTACTAAAACATGTTTATATATAGATAATCTATAATTAGTTATATATACGCACCACAATTGCACCTATTCTCTGTAAAAGTGAATAAGACGTTCCAGCCAAAGCTACCTGCACATAGCACAGTTAAATTTGTACCGACTAATTGATTTTAGACTTCATATGATTGGTGAAACAAAATGTGTATTAAGAATTAATCACAACAATTAATTATAAAACCTGAAAGGCATTTTCAGGGCAGCCATGGAAGAACTTGGCGATAGAGCCGGCACTGACGGCAAGTGGCGGCCGGAGAGAAACAGTTGGAGCAGGAAGCCATACTAGCATAAAATCTGCTACTAGGGCCATAATCTGTAGACAGATACCATAACAAAAAAATAGCAACTACCAAGATGCCAAATTTATAGTCTAATAAAAAAGAGTGAGAGATTGAACGGTATAAATTTTAATTATGCTCCACTTAATAACTGAAATATATAATCATGCTCCTATTTAATAAAAAAAAACTCTCTAAATTTTGTATAGTGTCCCACTGAAAATTTTCAGGCTCGGCACAACATAAATTTGAGGTAAAAATCTTATACATAAACAAACATATAAAGTACAATTTTCTTGAAAGTCGTGTCAGTTGGCATCATTTTCCATTAATGTAATTATCATTTATTATAAAATGTCCAACAAACACAAGTTTGTCCCATGCAATATACATATATGTATATATATATACACACACACATATATATATATATATATATGTATAAACAAGTTACAGACGTACCACATCAGCAAACACAAAATCTAGCTCTTTTTTGAAATTCTCTCTCCGCCGTTCCAATTCTGCAGCAGTCTGCAAAACAAACGACGACATTATTAATCACTAACAAATACTAGAATATGATCCTAATAATGTACCATAAACCCAACAAAAAAAAAAAATAATTCATGATGTTAGCAAAAGATGTAAACTAATATATACCTAGGTGAGTATCCCAACATTAATTAATCACTAAACTAGAATATGATCCTAATATAGTACCATCAAGCCAATAAAACTATATTAATTCATACAAACAAGATATTATATTATAAACTAATTGATATACCTTGGTGAATATCCCAACGCCACACTCAATGGCAACTTTGGTCAAGAAAAGATCATCAGCAAGCAACCTCTCCTTAAAGCCTCCAAAACCAAGTAACCACCGGAACACCATTGACTTCTCAAGCTCAAAGTACCTCCTCACAATCGCCCCCGGCAGCCGCCCCGCCTCCGCAGCCGCCGCCAAGTCCTTCGGCAGGCTCTCCAACGACCGTCCCTCCTCCGCCAATGCCATCAATGCCTCCGCCTTGTTTTGGTCCCGGAAGTCCCCACCATCATCTGGCCCGCCGTCATTGCCATTGCCGTCCCCTCCGCCGGCGCCGCCTCCTCCACCATCAGAGCCACCACCTGCGGTGACGTACGGCGGTCGGAAGGGTGTGGTGACCGGTGGGAAGGTCGTGTTTGAGGTGGTTAAAGAGAGAGTAGGAGAAGTTTTGAGGGAGAAAGTCATCAAGGTTTGAGGAAAGGAACATTTGTGGTGATTTGGTGAAGGGAAAGAGAGAGAATGTTGAGAGGAGGAGAAGAAGTTTGAGAAGGTAGAAACCGCCATGGTTATGGCGGGTTTTTCTTATTTTCTCTCTTCTTCAATGTTACAGAGAAGTTGAAGGGAGTTTTTTTTCTTTTTTTCTTTTTTTTTTCTGTCTAAAGAAAAAATTATAGTGTGTAGTTGAAGATTAGGAATGAAATATGAAAGAATTTTCTTTTTCTTTTGGTTTTGTTTTGTTTTGCTCAAAATGGTTGGTGGTGAAAGGGAACTAGGAAAAGATTAGAATCATAAGAGGACCATTAATTTTGATTGTTTGTGTTTTTACATGAAATTAACTATTCCAATAAAACAAAAACAAAAAAAAACCAACAATTGGATGGTAAATTTTCTTTTCTTTCGTTTTGTTTCTAGAGACGTTACTATCAAGGGATCAATGAACAAGTGAATTGGATTCAATGTGAATAATTTGTGATTATCAGAGAAGAGGAAAAAGCTTTGAAAGTGGTGTGTTGTCTAAATTAGAGAGAGTCGTGTGGAGGGAAATGTGTGCCTTAGATTGAAAGAAAAACAATGGATACGTTGATAGTGTTTTCTCATGTTGTTATTCAGAATTTGAGGCCTCATATTATATGTATTCTTTCTACCTTATGCAAACTACTATACGTCTATTGTATATAGACAAAGAAAATTCCAATAAAAAATAAATAAAAATAAGAAGCTCAACAAAAATTAAGGACCGTAGACTAAAGTCTCTAACTAGTACAAAATCAAGGGGGCCCACCTCCAGTTAAGAAGCTGACATTTGTAAGAAAGAGAGAGTGTGGGGATTGTTTTTAACAAAACTAGTGGTCAATGAAGGCATGTGAGTTACACGCGCCTATAAGTGGAAATGGATTATTTTGGAACTTAAATCTAAAAGATTATAGGAAAAAATACATAAAAAAAAAAATTCTTAATGGATAGATCTGAGAAGATCGTGAACGTTTGGTTCATGAATTTAGAATTATAATTTAGAATTATTTTTATTATATATATATTTTTTATGAGAAAATATTATAACGAGTTACGAATCATTATTCGAATCATGATATGAATCTCATTTTCAAATGTTAATGTTAGTATTTAGACTTTTATGGGTGGTAAGCTGATAGCCTTGATTGCTTCTCTTTTGAAGGTCCATCTTCTATTGAAAATAAATAAATTTGCGTGAGATAATTAGAGTAGAGACGAAAGTTATATCAACAACTAAATTGACAAAATAATTGTTCACCACTAATAATAAACAAAATTGTGCAACTAGCATGCCTGGTATACAAAGAGAGAGCACTCTAATCATGTCATCATATATATACAATGGATTTGATTATATATTTTCATGACCACTACTTATCAAACATCATTACTAATGACGATTAACTCACTCCTTTTTTTTTTTTTTTCTTTTTCTTTTTCTTACCATTCCTTTCATTTGATTCGATTCGTTTAAATTTACTTTTTCCAACTTGCGTAAGGTATGATTACATCCATTTATAGCATGATTAATGAAAATATTGAAAGCATTCATCCTCAGACGATTACCTAAAGGAAAAAAAATATGATAACCGTACTTGTTCTAATATATTACTAATTAAGAGAAATATTTGTATATATATATATATATATATCTTATCTTGAACGCTTTAAATCGGAATAAAGATTATTATTTTTTAATGAATACCCAATGAGGCTCATATTCTTAAATCCGAATAAAGGTTATTGCTCATGATCAAACCAAAAAGTTTCTATTTTCTTTTTTCTTTTTTTACTTTAATGAATATTGACAATCATTTAAAGTGAATTATGTTAGATTAATTAAAAGAAACTATTATTTATACTTGGCTCGAGCTTACCACCACAAAAATGATTTGATTATCGACGGTTTATGTGTTCTATTATTATTATATTTATTTTTAGGTCGTGTTGTTTGTGTCTCAAGTATTTGGGGTTTGGTTTTAATTGACTGGTTTTATCTATTGACTGTATTGGCTTTTGTAACTCACTTATTTTGTTTATGCCAAGTGGGTTTTTCTGCATTAGGTCTTGACACTTGTAATCGCTTTTGTGCTTCATTCGTCTTCATTGATAGATTTAGTTAATGTTCAGTGTCAAATTCTCTTGTAGTTAGTGATCGTTTACAACTATTATTAGGTATGTAATTTGTTAAATTTAAAAGAAATTTTTCCCATAAAAAATGATTTGTTTTTTTGTTAGTTAATTCCGTCTTAAAATGTCTTTGGTCTCGGCCACTGGAGGACACAAGACTTGGTAATTATATTCTAAATTTTTAGGTGACTTGGAAATATCCTTTAAAAAAAAGTGCATTACTTAAAAGCATACTCATACTTAATAAGCTGGATAAAATTAAAACGTATACTCATACATTTAATTTAGTTTGATGATATATTATATAATTTTTAGAAGTTAATTTGTTATGATAATTCTTTAATTGGATAAAAAAATATATTATTTTGTGTTATTTTTTACCATCTAATATTAAAATTTCATTTCATTATGATATAATTTTAATGTGATATGAAGATCCAAAAGTAGATAATATTATTGACAGAATATTCTTTTGTACGTTGTTTTAGAATTCTATGAAACTTTATAAATATAACTTTAGCTCTAATGTAGCGCCCCTCCTTTGAGGCCGCCACTGTAACTAACTTTTTAACTTGTACTTACTGAAATTTCTTAAAATTTACGGAACATTTTTTTTTTAAAAGGTCTTATTATAAACATAAAATACGAAATTGCTTTCTTAATTAAAATATTCAAACCTTAACATATCTGTTTCATAATCATAATTAACAAAACTATTTGTAACATAAAGCTGATTGCGGAAATATTTGCGAGTGGTATCCATATCCCGAGCCCCACATCGTTCGTCCACTCGCCAGCAGTCCATCAGGCATTATATGCCGGTTGCTTACCTACAGTATAAACATTCTATAATGAGCTTTCACTTAGCAAGTAGGAACTATCTCTTGCAAAATAACTGTAAGTTCACATGAATAAATATGCATGAGCCAATTATGCTTAATTATGATGTCTTATCAGAATCTTATTATCTTATCTTATCTTTCTTACTGATGGGCCAGAGTGCTCGTACCACTTGCGCGCAATCATCGGGACGTGAGGGTTTGCAAGGTCCCCCATGACACCGTGATTATAACTTGAATGCCTCCCTTGAGTCGGAGGACATCATTATTATTATTTTTTTCTCCCTTGTGGAGCTTGAGTTACCTCCCTTGTGGAGGCTGGTACGGCACTCAACTGAGATTACTCTTATAAGTTCCTCTTGACTTATTAAGGTGTATGCAATATGACCTAGCATAGCATACTATATCACGTACTCGAACACATATAATGCGGGTGTATTGCTTAAGTGTATGTAGTATAACACAGCATAGCATTCATAACATTAAATGTACTCAAACATATATAGTTCATGTGTACTGTTTACTTTAAAATCTATTTATACTGTAGGCGAGATTCCTACTTACTTGATTTTCAAAGCTGGAATCCCTTTTTCGCCTATCAGCCTAGTCTCTTGCTTTCTTCTGAAACTGAACACCCATTAAGAGTGTGAGATTAACTATTATTTGCTATTTTATTTTAGCAACTTATGAAGGAAAATCTAACCATTTCCATAAGGCATATATTCCTTTCCTTTACTAAAGGATAATAAAGATTAATTTATTAAATCTTCAAAATCTTATTTTCCTAAATTTCCCTTGGTATGATATTAAGGCCCAATTCAACCTAGGACTTATACATGGCATTCTAACTTTTACGCCGCTGAAATTTATACTCCAACGGAGTCTCTTAAACTAATGTGGACGTTGGACCCACATTAAATATTTGAAATTCTACGGACCTATCGTATTGGGCTCGTAGGTACCCGTCGGGATAATTCGCTCGGTAAACCTCTACGTTCTTTAAAGAAATCATTTTTCCTTGAAAAATTCCTTTATGAATACTTTCATTAAAATGAGGTTTAATGTCATTGTATTTTACTAAAATTCTATCTCGGGTTCTTTTATAACTTTTTGTTGAAACCGACACTGTTTTAGTTTTGTCTCGTTAAAAACTGTGCAGTTTCTGAAATCTACGTTTTACTGTATCTTAGAGTCGGATTTCAAAATTTTGTTCTTCGCGACAATTTCTC